GATGGCGCCTCTCTTGAAGACAAGGCCAGCCAACTATTCCCAATTCGAAGTTAAACAGCTAAACAAAAAGAGAACAGTCTAAAACATGATTTAATAATACTAAGTAGCAGATAATATCATAAAAATGCGGAAGTAAAACCCAAACACAACCCTAATCGGGGTGTCACTAGTCATGAGCATCTACTGAGGTCCGAATACAACTAGAGTCAAAATGTACTAAATACGGTCTAATGAAATCGAGAGGGAGAAAAATAGTGCTGCGAACGTCGGGCAGCGACCTTGCTAACCTCCGATGACTCTGCCTCTGAGCAACCAATACCCGCTACCGGGTTCAGAAATTCCTGAATCTGCACACAAGGTGCAGGGAGTAAAGTGAGTACTTCCAACTCAGTGAGTAATAATCATAAATAAAGACTGAGTGATAAGAAATCATGAAAAGTGCATCAACATGTTGTATAGAAGTAGTACAAAACCAGTAAGAAAGCAATGAAGCTGTGAAATCTCTTAAAGCGTCTTAGCTCAGTTTAAACTTCTTCTAAAATGGCTTCTCAACAGTTAAGCAATTGAATGCAAAGCAACTGGAACAAATAAGCATAAAGAATACGCCCCTCGGGCACAATTACGCAACTAAACAGGTAAATGATAGGTAAATAAGACAGATAAACACATTAAGGTTCGCCCCTCGGGCACAATGTCAACAACTCCGCCCCTCGAGCAATATCTCAGATCAATACCAGCCCCTCAGGCAATCACAAAGAACAATACTAGCCCCTCGGGCTATATCTCACATCACAATGGGTACCCGCGCTCACTTGGGGTGTGCAGACTCCTGGAGGGGCCCTTTACGGCCCAAGCGCAATATCAAGCCATCTCGTGGCGTCATCACTAGGCCCTCGGCGTCATATCATTCAAGCCACCTCGTGGCGTACATATCTCAGGCCCTCGGCCTCAAATCAATATCAGTGTTTCCTCACAACATAGGCCCTCGGCCTTACTCAGTCAAAAACCCTCACAAGCCCCTCGGGCAGTAGTAAAATAGTATTTCTCAGCCCAAACATCATTTAAAATATCATTTAAGTATTAAAAGGGAGTAAACATGGCTGAGTATAAAAGCAGTGAAAAATAACATGACTGAGTTCAAGTATAAAGTCAAAACAGTGAGAAAATATCAATAAAAATCCCCCGAAGGGTTCAAATAGTTGGCACGAAGCCCAAATATGGCATTCCGCCCAAATAATGATGATAGCAAATAGATTTCAGTCAAATACGCGGTAAAATCATCAATCGAGACGGACCAAGTAACAATCCCCAACAGTGTACGACCCCACGCTCGTCATCAAGCGTGTGCCTCACCTCAATATAGCACTACGATGTTTAATCCGGGGTTTCAAACCCTCAGAACATCATTTACAATCATTACTCACCTCGATCCGGTCCAAACTCTAGCCCGCGATGCCTTTGCCCGCATGAATCGACCTCCCGATGCTCCAAATCTAGCCACAATCAGAACATAACCATTAAAATATGCTAAGGGGACAAAGCCCACTCGAAAATATCCAATTTCCATAAAAAATCCCGAAATTTCTCAAACCCGGCCCTCGAACCCACGTCTCGGAATCTGATAAAATTAACATCAACGGAAGCCTCATCCTCTCACGAGTTCATACATATCAAATTTACCAAAATCCGACCTCATATGGTTACTCAAATTCTAAAAATTCACTCTCCAATTTCAAGCCCTAAATTCCCAACTCTTCCTCTAATTTCCCACAAATTTTCATGATTAGACAATGATATAATCACCATAAACACAAGGTATAAATCCCAAGTAGCTTACTCTGTGGATACACTTGATCCCCTTTTGCAATCACAGCTTGGAGCTCCAAAATCGCACAAAAATGGTGAACAAAAGACTGAAATCACGAAGGGGCATTTTTATACATTCTGCCCAGCACTTCCGCACCTGCGATCCCATAAGCGCATCTGCGCTTCCGCGGAAAAAACATCCGCTTTTGCGGATTTCACTTATGACACCAGGCCCCGCATCTGCGGTCAATCCACAACTCCTGCGGTACCGCATTTGCGGTCAAATTGCCGCTTCTGCGACTTTCACGTATAATCCAAAAATCGCATCTGCGACCACGTAGCCGCACCTGCGCCATCGCAGGTGCGGTCGGGCAACCGCATCTGCGGCTCCTGCACTTCTCTTACTTGACCACTTTTGCGACTAAAACTCCATATATGCGGCGCCGCACCTGCGGTCCCCAATCGGCAGGTGCGAAAATACCAGAAGCAGCAAATTCAGCAGCTGCAACAAAATTCAAACTTCTCCGTTAACCATCGGAAATCACCCCGAGGCTCCCGTGACCTCAACCAAAAGCACAAACATATTCTAATACCTTATTCAAACTTGTTCCAATCATCAAAACACCTCAAACAATATCAAATCACCCAAAATACATCGGATTCAAGCCAAACTTTCCAAAATCTTCCGAATTCTGCTTTTGATAAAAAACCTAACCAACCACGTCCGAATAATCTGAAATTTTGCACACACATCCCAAATGACATAACAAAGCTACTGCCACTCTCGGAATTCTATTCCGACCCCTATATCAAAATCTCACCTATCAACCGGAAAACGCCAAGAACTAACTTTCGCCAATTCAAGCCTTATTCTACAACGAACCTCCAAAACACATTCCGATCACGCTCCTAAGTCCCAAATCACCTAACGGAGCTAACCAAATCATAAAAGTTCCAATCCGAGATCATATATTAACAAGTCAAATCTTGGTCAAACCTTTCAAATATCAAGCTTCAAACTGAGAACTGTTCTTCCAAATTCATTCTGATTATCCTGAAACCAAAGCCAACGATTTACATAAGTCATAATACACTACACGGGGCAAGTCATGCTCGAGAACTGGCGAGCAAAGTGCAAAAGCTCAAAACGACCGGTCGGGTCGTTACAAGTGGGTTATGTGGGATGACAGGTGGAGATGAGTCATCACAGTTCTGCAGTAAAGGAGTTTTAAGGGTTGGGGAGTGAGGTGAGGTCAACGTGTGAGGGTGTAAATTGCTGGGTGGTCGGTTGGACTTAGGAAGTGATGAGGCAGTAGTTTGAGGTGGATTTGGGCTGTTATTATTGTGGGCTGGAGTCATGCGGGTTAGTTTGGGTGGGCTGCTAGGGAGTGTTGTTACTGGATTAGGAGAAATTTTATGAGCAGGCCCAAATGTGTGTGAGGTAGGGTTAGGATAATTATTATTAAAAACATAAGAAGAAATAGTAGAAAGCGTACTATTGATAATAGTTAGTTTAGTTAATTGATTAGTTTCAATCGTCCATCGAAGTAATTAATGAGAGGTTCGTGGGAGTGAAGAAGTGAGTGTTAGTAGAACTGTTTTTAGAGGAAGCAAGCTTATTGAGCGTACCTGGAGATTGTTGAATGTCATCTATATCTGCAGCATGCTGTCCCTCGCTCATGGATGAAGACAATGGTGGGTCTGCTGTGGTATTTTTTGGTGAAGGCTGTTGAGGAGAAAGGCTCAACTTACCAGCTCTTGTTCTTGATTTGCTCGAAAATTTTACTGTTTGCCATGGCGTTTCACCGGGTTGGGCTGGTTCGCTGGAATTAGTGTGATCAGGTATTGGAGATGATGGGGGTGGCGTGAAACAAATGGGTAAGGGTGGGGCATGAAACGAACACGCTTTGGTATTATGACCAAAACGCCTACAGCGGATGCAAAGGATATTTAAGCCCTCATACATAACGACTTGCTTGTGGTTACCAATGTAGATATGTGTTTTCAAAGGTTTTTCAAGTAGAATTTCAATGCAAATACGAGCATATCTGCTGCGTGTGGTAGATGAAGTACAAGCATCTACATTAAGGAGATTGCCTAGTTTATTGCCTACTAGCTGTAAGAGTGAAAGATCATTGTATTCAGTAGGTAGTTCAGGCAATCGAGCCCAAATGGCGGAGTAGGCGAGTTGGGCAGTGGACGCTACAAATTTTGGTTCCCAACGACGTACAGTAAGGAAGTGGACCAAGATAAAACACGACCCGTCATGAAGTGCATGAAGCATATTATCTTCCTGGGTAAATTTTATGAGGAAAAAAGCATGTCCAAGATCAATAAGGTTGAGTGGTTCAGAGGACCTCCAAAGAGTTTGGAGTTTGGATTTAGCATTTGGTGCCCGATGGATTTTGCCAAATAATTTGATAATAATGGAGTACTTCGAATGGTGTACAAGCGAGCCTTATCATCTGCTGTAAGTGGAATAAAATCCTCTGTACCATATAGGTTGTCCGCTTCATCAATTAAGTCGATATCTAAAGAGATGGGTGGAGAGTTTTGCGCTAGCAGGCCGTTTGGTGAAGGTGTGAGGAGGGTATGTAAGAAGGAAGCTTTTTGTGGGATTTTAGTTGTGTCATCTACTTGCATTACAAAGTGGTCTGGAGGATCGGTGGTGGTCATGGCGTCAATGTTCCTGGTGTAGTCATGTGGGAAGGTTAGGGTTGAGAGAACAAGGATGAAGGTCTCTAGTGAGGCAGTTGAGAGCATTCTCGCAGTTTTATCAAAATAGAATGCTTGATATGTGTTCTTTGAGAGAAATTGTTAGATGGATATATATTATTTATATGAATAAGGGAAGGTATAACTCAGCTTCACACTAAGAAATAAAGACAGGACTTAATAAAAAGCAATGAATGAAGGTAATGGCCGGGGAAGTAATAACATGATAATAGCGGATAAAAGGATTGCAAAATATTAACAATTACTAACATATTGATTTATAAGGGCAACCATTTGTTGTTGCTCATATATAGACAATCAATACACAAACTGAGAACTTGGAAAACTTATACTAGCAAAGACCAACTATTGAGGTACTCGTTGGCTTTAGTTAATAAAAAGAGGGGAAAAAGGGGTAATCCGGTGCACTAAGCTCCCGCTATGCGCGGGAGCAAGGGAAGGGCCGGACAAGAAAAGAATTAAAACATCTCCGCTGAATCAAAACCAAAGTTATGGTTATGAAGATTATTTGAAGCAACCATGTTTCGAGCTGGCTTGATATCATAGTTGTCAAAAATCCCATTACCATTAACACCAAAAAGAGAAGAAGAATTAGCAGTCTCAACCATAAACTTGCTTGCCTGATTTCTCACATTCTTTTTTAAAACTTCCATGGAATCCTTTAATTGTTCAAGTTCATGCAAAGCAAGTTTACTTATAGGAGCTTCCCACCAATATTGACTTTGACTAGTTTTCCTCATTTGATCAAGTGATTCTCCTCTTTTCTTCTCAACTTCAAACTCAGCAAGAATCTGTGTTAATTGCAAATTGAGCTCACGAACACTAGCATTTCGATGAGTCTCAACAAGATGAAGTGATGAATTAGATATTGGATTATGATTTCTTGAGAGGAACCTATCGACAATGGACTCAACATTAGGGTGACCAAAAGAAAAAACTTTTCTTGCAGGAGAAAAAACTATGATAGCTATTTCAACACCACAAAGTGTACATAGTTCACTAGCTTTCTTGAAAAGACCAGAACGACGTTTTGAGAAGGTAACTTGGAGATGATTTTTTACCTCTGTTTTGGCAATTTTGATCTTTTGACGACCAATACTAGGTTTCTTTGCCATGGCTGAAACTAAAGAATATTAGAGATAATTCTTGTGGTTTTTGAGTTTACATTCAGAGAAAAATATGGACTATTTATAGGTGCTTTGGAGTACCCTAAAACATGCTGTCTTTAAAATATTTTTACTATGGTTTCTATGTAATGTGCTGATTTGGGAGTTCGAAAATCTTATCCTATTAATGGATTGATGATGTGATACTCAATGCACCTTAGTTGGCATTATTAAAACAATAAGGCATATATATTACTTGTGAAAGTCAACCTTTATTCCCTTTATAAGTAATGACTTAATTGTTTGTTACAATTGTCAACCCTTCTATCTATTGATTGGTTTTTATGCAGCTAGCTAGCAGGGATAAATGGTAATTAGTTAAGAGAGTAAGATTATTTTAAGAATAAATGAGGGTGAGTGAGAAAAGGAGATATCTACCAATATTAGAGATACTATACGTAATTTTTATTTTTGAGTTGTAACCTAAAAGACAATCATGTTTTGCATTTACTTTTGAGTTGTAACCTATGGAGAAGCCAATTATGATAATAGTTGGATAATAATAGTGTCTTAGCTTGAGAAATCAGGTGGTGATAATTAAGTTTAGATATTGATGAGTTATGAATCATAAAAGTTATATAACATATATAGATTATAAGATATGAAGAAATTGCAAAAATTGTGTCAGAAAATGGGAATTTTCTTGAAATAAATTGCTGTAGTTGATCATACGATTACAAATAACAAAGTTACATAAGAATTAAATAAAGGAAAATATGACATAAGTATTTCTTAAGATGGTTGGTTCTTTCTCTAATTATCCAGAAGAGACAGAAAATTTTCTAGAATAGCAAATCGGGATTCAGTAATCATAAAATGCATATTCACTACCATAGCAGAATCTTATTAAAATCTAAAAGGTCGGAAGAATGAATGTGGTTTTTTACAGTACTTTTTAATTTTCTTAATGATTTTGTGCTAATTTATAGTTAAGGAATAAGGACTATAGATGCTAACTCTAGCATGAATACATTTTTATCAAAATTTTAACTTGATTCCAAGACAGATAATCATATAATACGATACTTTTCGTATATTTTATCTTATCTACTGCAAAGTTTAATTTATGTTGTAGTAACTGAGTGTCTTTATCGATGACAAATTTAGAACCTATAAACTTCGAATCTTGACTCCGCCTCTATCGATAATGAGTGTCTTCATTTTATTTTTACAAGAATCACTTAAAAGTAATCCGTTTCCTTTCTGTATATAAGATCAAGAGAAACACCATCACAACCACTAGCAAAACGAAAGCAAAATAAAAGAAAAGTAACACGTCAAGCATAGAAGTATCGATTTTGACAATATTCATCAATATAACTTGTTCGAAAAAAATTGGGGGGGGGGGGGGGGATTTGATCCCCGATCTAACAAGTCATTAGCATATACCACCATTTTAAATGTGAATTGAAGTTTTATGCGTTGAAGAATTTAGAAATGTATAGACAATCAGATCACTTATTATGTACATAATGTAATTACAGATAAATCTCTTGATAAACACTAATTGATAATCTGGTAAAAATAATGACTAATTTATCATCGTAGGTTAAAATTCATTGAAAGTGCAAGAAAATCTTTGCAGTGCCGGTGGCATATAACTTAGATCCTTTAAATATGGCTATCTCTCTCCTTCGAACTGTTCAAACCACGACCTACTACTTAGTATTTCCCCAACACTTTACTAAATACTGAGCCAAAACAATATTTACAAAACTCTTAGCAAACTTAAGGATTACCTCTAATCCCGTTGTAGCAACCAGCCTCTAACTGTTGCGACAACTTCAAGTTAACTCTAACTTGAATACTCAAAGTACCTATTACAATTGCTTCTAGATAAAGCTAAAAGGTACAATATAAAAACACCTACTACAATTGAACTAGAAATAAAGAAAGACACATAAAACTCTTTATGGAGTTGGTTCTTCAATCAGGTTCATGTAGCTTCAGGTTTACACACTTGAATCACACACGAACTGCTTTCAAAAAGCCTTGCTATTTTGCTCTCAATTCACGTTTATCTTCTGCATTTTTGTGCAACACATGTAATGTGAGAACATCCTGCAATTTATAGAGTTAGTAGATGAAGAAATAACTAGAGTTCTGATGCAACTCTTACTTGGTGGAAGAGTTCTAGTTGACTTCAACTTCTAACTCCTTCCCTATCTTGGATAGTGTACTCTTTGATTAAGGAGTCCTTCTCCTTATCAATTATGCAACCTTTTCGATTAGGAGATACTAAATACACCAATTTAAGCTTATATCCTTCACGTACATCCCACATGCTCGAATCTGCCCGTTTCTATGCACACAAGGGATGGACCTGGTTCATGCCTGAGTTCCTTTGTCAGTCTTCAAAACTAACCTTTACTTGGGCCAACAAATTCCCCCTTTTTGATGATGACAAACTTTATGCTTTTCATAAGCTTGGGCCCTGTTTCAACTCAGCTCAACATCAACACAATGTTAGAAACATTTTTCTTTTTTATCACTTATCATCAAGGACCAGGTACATTAGGTTATAAACATCACTATTCAAAGTGTAAACATCACTTGTTTAAAGCACAACCTTTTTTCCCCTTTTGGAATCATCGAAAAGTTGCATAAAAACGTGAGATAACCAGATTTTAAAGCTTACTCATAGCCACTGGGCTACTTCAAATGCAATCATGGATTAATCATCATAGTTCAAACTATGAATTTTAACCATCAAAGAAATATAAACAAATAGTTGGAGCAAAAACAGTGAATTTCATTGATGATTGATAAGATTCTAGCGCAAAGCATAAGAAATTAAAATACTGAAAACATGACCAAAAGAAACAAAACGTCCCGAACTAGCTCACCGGTTGATCTATACTAAGCTAGGAGGCTTAAGGTTGGGAAGAACTAGGTTCTTGGTTTTTGACTTGGAAGAGTTTCAGCATACCTTGAAGAATGCCATCATTCTTCTCTTTTTCTCTTGCCAGCTCAGTTATGAGAGCATCTCTCTTGGTCTCCACCTCAACCAACCTCTTCTTCAGCCTTTCAATCTCAACATCCTTAGCCCCACTTTCTTGCACCAAGGCTCTGACCTTGCTATTCACTGGTACCTTTCTCCCACTTTTTCATAAGTACATTGAAATGTGCAAGCACAGTTGTGAGAATGAAGCCATAGGGAATGGTATGAGTTTTGGTGCCATTGATAACTCTATCAAGAAGCTGGATTATAGCTTTTAGTCACTTTCTTCAGCAGGTCTGCGAGGGTTTCCTCTACAGATGAACCAGGTTCATCTCCCTAAACAACCATTGCACCTGCATCTTTGGTTAAACTCACAGGAGTGGGTGAAGAATCAACCACTCTTGTCCTCCTTCCCTTCACAGTACACCTATTACCCTGGCTCTTTTTTTTTTTCATTTTTACCGCCAACTTCTTCAGATTCTGTAGTCTCAACACCTGCTATAGATCCTACAAATCTATTCTCTAAATTTGCAGCAACTTTAGAAATTGTCTCAGGAGAAACTTTAGAATCAGAAGATACCTGCTCAGTTTCGGAGGAACCACTTTCTTCCCCCTGAGTAGCAGACTTAAAAGAATCTAGGTAGTTTAATACGGTCAGGAGTCTTGAGCGTAACTGGTTCACTTATAACGGATAAGTTCAAAGGAACTTTGGTATTTGGTAGGACTTTGCTCATGATCCAAATATAGTTATTTCAAATTATGCAAAGTGTAGAAAACATACCGTGTTATCTTGATGAACCAGGTTCTTCATTGATAATTTTCTTGTGTAAGTCGAAATTTGCCAAAATAGAGAAAACATCATTAGAGATTAAAGAGTCATTTTAACACATGGCACAAGAGTATACTATGGAAAGTATGAGACTGAGCAAGATTTAATCTAATTATCCAAAATTTTCAGACTTTCTAACCAGTTATTTTTTCAATTTCATTCCATTTTTTTCTGTTTAACCTTGAACTGGTCCTTTTAGGTGATCTTAATCATCCCTAATTCCAACATGTTCCTCTCGAAGTGATTTCTACTTAAGGTTTTTGTGAAGATGTCAGCAACTTACTTGTCAGTAGCACAAAACTCCACAGTGATCAAGCCTTTCTCATAGTTGTCCCTAAAAAATGGTGCCTAACATCTATGTGCTTAGTTCTCTTATGATGAACCGGGTTCTTTGTCATACTAATAGCAATGGTGTTATCACAAAAAATAGGGATGTAACCAACATCAATTCAAAAGTTCAATAATTGTTGTTTGATCCACAACAATTGAGCACAACATGAAACAACAGCAACATACTCCGCTTCAGCAGTAGATAAGACCATTGAATTTTGCTTTTTGTTAGCCCGTGACACAAGACATGAACCAAGGAAGTGTGCCATACCTGAGGTGATCTTTCTATCCACATGGAACCCTGCATAATCAGCGTTAGCATATCCCACTAGGTTAAAATTACTACCTTTTGGATACCAAGGCAGTCAAGTGGGACTTCTTTGGATTTTCCTTCCTAGTTTTGTTACTGAGGAATAGTTTCATGGACAGGTTCCCTCGAGGTTTGAGGATCAGTTCCTCTCTAGTCAGTTCCCCCTGTCATGTTGCCCTGGGTGGAAGGACCTGTTCCATCACCAGTTCCTTCCTGTGATGCATTTTCAGGCTGGACTGTGGTTTCACTATTTGAATTTTTTATCAGCCCAATCTCTTCATTATCTTGTTCCTGCCCCTCAGAAAGAATATCAGTTTTCAAAAAATAACATATACAATTTTTTTTGCACACATAGTTCTTTTACTTTATATCTTATAAGCTTTACTATGTGAAGAATATCCCAAGAATAGTCGCTCATCACTTCTGGGATCATACTTCCCTAGGGAGTCTTTGCTATTATTGTGCACAAAGCACTTGCATATAAATGCCCTAAGATGGGATATATTTAGCTTTCTCCCTTTAAGTGACTCATAGGGAATCTTCTTAACAAGAGG